GCTCTTCAAACTTCACTTACTCCTCTACAATGGCATTGCCGACTGGGACATCCTTCTCTCAAGGCACTCAAGATATTAGTTTCGTCTTTGAGTCGTTTGTCAGTTTTACAGTGTGAGTCATGTCAGTTTGGGAAACATCGYCGTGTTTCCTTCAGTCCTAGAGTTGAAAGTTGTATGTTGAGTCCTTTTTCTTTGGTTCATTYAGATGTTTGGGGCCCGATCAAAATAGAGTCTTATAATGGTTACAAGTATTTTGTCACTTTTATTGATGATTGTTCAAGGATGACATGGATTTACTTAATGAAAGAAAGAAGTGAATTATTTTCCATTTTTCAAAAATTCCATACTAAAATACGTACACAATTTGGTGTTCCAATCAAAGTCCTTCGTTCAGATAATGGTCGTGAATACTTTCTTACTTCATTTCAACAGTATTTAGAACAACATGGCATTATTCATCAAACTTCATGTGCATCCACTCCTCAACAAAATGGGGTGGCTGAACRRAAGAACCGTCAGCTCCTTGAAACTGCTCGGTCTATTCTTCATCATATGAATGTTCCTAAACGGTTTTGGAGTGATGCTGTACTCATTGCATGTTTCCTCATTAATCGGATGCCCTCCTTCATTCTTCATGGTCGGTCCTCCTTCTCTATCTTGTTCCCCACTTTATCTCCATTTCCATTAACTCCTTGTGTCTTTGGCTGTGTGTGCTTTGTCCACAATTTGAGTTCTGGAATAGACAAGCTAGATGCACGCTCCATTAAATGTGTATTTCTTGGCTATTCTCGGACTTAAAAAGGGTACAAGTGTTATAATCCCATTACTCGAAAGTGCTATGTCTGTCCTGATGTCACCTTTTTTGAGTCTGTCCCCTTCTTCTCAGGACCTGAAGCACCTTCGTCTTCACCCTTACTTCCTCTTCCTCTTCCTGTCAATGATCCAGTTCCGAATGTTGCTGTTGGAGTAGACTCATCATCTCATCCAGTGCAGATCACCACTGAACGACCACCGATCCGGCAAGTGTATACACGTCGAACGACACCAGCCCCTCCTCCAGCTTCTACCTTATCTGCGGATCCTGTCATGGCTTCTGTTGTTGAACCCTCAGAACTTAACCTACCCATTGCCTTACGGAAAGGTAAACGCATTTCTACTCTCCATCTCATTTCCAATTTTGTTTCATTATCTCGCCTCTCCACCTCACATTGTCAGTTTGTTTCACTTTTGTCATCTATTTCCATACCTAACAATGTCCAAGAAGCTCTTAGTTCACCTTGGTGGCGGCAGGCAATGGAGGAGGAACTCTCTGCTCTTCAACATACTCAAACGTGGGAGCTCACTACTCTCCCACCTAGTAAGCATGTTGTGGGCTGTAAATGGGTGTATACTGTTAAATACTTGTCAGATGGTAGTGTGGAGCGTCTAAAGGCCAGGCTCGTTGCTAAAGGTTACTCACAGTTGTATGGAGTGGACTACATGGAGACATTCTCTCCGGTGGCTAAGATTGGCTTTGTTCATGTGCTAATCTCCCTGGCAGTTATGTATGATTGGCCTCTGTTTCAGCTTGACATCAAAAATGCCTTCCTTCATGGTGACTTTGTGGAGGAGGTATATATGGAGCAACCACCTGGGTTTGTTGCTCAGGGGGAGGATGGTAAGGTGTGCAGATTGAAGAAGGCAATTTATGGGTTGAAATAATCGTCGCGTGCTTGGTTCGGGAAGTTTAGTGAAGTGGTGAAGAGTTTTGGAATGAAGCAATGCCAGGTTGATCACTCAGTGTTCAGCTATGACTCAGAAGCTGGAAAGATTTTATTAGTGGTCTANCCCCCCACCCCACTGGCCGGTTTTTTAAAACTAAACTTTGATGGGAGTAGTCGGGGGAATCCTGGACAATCGGGGATTGGAGGTGTGTTTAGCCATGTTTTCAGGCCCAATTGGACTGGGTGATTCTCTCAGGGCTGAGATTATTGCAGTTCTGGAAGGAGTCCAAAGAGCTAAGGAGATGAATATAAGAAAACTCATCATGAAGGGGACTCGGAGGTGGTGGTAGGGTGGCTTGAATAAAGAAAATAGCAGTTTATGGGTGTACAGTAATGAGAGGAGGAAATTTAGATGGCTGGTTCAAGAGATGGAAATCAAGATCAGCAGGGTGAAAAGATCATCTAACTCCTTTGCTGATGGGTTAGCTAAGCAAGGAGTCGAGAGGGAGTTAATGTTTTGGGCACAAGTGTAATTTTTCCATTTTCTGTTCTTGGGAGCTCAAGCTCCAGCTGGAAAATAAGAAAGTTTATCTTCATCCTTGTAATATTTTTGTGATTAATTAATGAAATGTGGTTATTGATAAAAAAAAAAATGTTAGCAATCTTCTTGTCTACGATTTGTCATTTTTAAGATCCAACAGGAGATGGCAAAAAAGATTGAGAAGATAAGGAGAGGTTTCTTGTTTGAATCAGAGGAGGGGAGGAAGGGTCACTTAATAAAGTGGAAAGTGGCATGTAGAAGCAAACATCAAGAAGCGTTAAGAATAGGGAATGTGGGGAAGAAGAATATGGCTCTACTACAGAAATGGTTGTGGAGATTGCCTTTAGAAAGGGATAAGTTATGACATAGAGTGGTAGTTAGCATTCATGGGTTGATGGACAATGGATGGGACACTACTAGCTTATTTGCTAGAGCCACATGGACTTCTCCTTGGAAGGCAACTCATAGTATACTCCAAGTCTTTCTAAATTGTATCTAGTATGATGTCTATTATGGTAATAATATTGGAAGGCAACTCATAGTATACTCGAAGTCTTTCTAAATTGTATCAAGTATGATGTCTATTATGGTAATTGTTAAAGTGAGCCGAATAAGGGTAGTTTAGTCATCTTATCTTTGTTAAGTTGTATGCTTATGTGGCAGTTTTATTAGAGACACTCTGCCCCACACTTAAGTAAGGGCAGTTTAGTCTTTGTAGAAATTATTAGAGWCTAATTACTATTAAGGGGTCAACTGATAGGATTTACCCATTAGATTTGACAGTCCCTTCTTTTCCTTCTTCTCTTCTTCTTCCTCCTCTTCTTCTTCCTCTTGCTGGTTCGGGTTACTGTAGCAGCAGTTGAAACAGTAATAATATCTATTTTTGGGAACATGTTTGGATGGGGGAGTCTTCTCTAAAGGATCTGTTTCCTACATTGTTCTCAATCTCCAATCTAAAATAGGAACTTTTTTCTAAGTTTCTTGTCCCCTCTTCTTCTGTCAATGGATTGGATTACGACTTGAGCTTTACAAGGGGAATTGGGGACTCAAAAGCTCTAGTGTTGTCAATCTCCTTCAAATGCTTGAGAAAGTGTTCCTGGGTCCTTCCTGGGTCCTTCTAAGCCCAATGGTCATATTTGGATTCCTAATACCTTGGGTTCATTCTCTTCTGCATCTTTATTTAGAGTTTTATTGGGAAGTGAAAGATGTTTGTTGCAGATCAATTCCCCTAGAATTAGTGCTTCTTTTTGGGAAGTGTTCCATGGGAAAGTTAATACTCTAGACTTGCTACAAAAAGGCCTAATAACTGTTTAGCCCCTAATTGATGTGTTCTCTGCAAAGCTAATGGCAAACAGGTGTTGGCAAACTTCAAATTGTGGTGGAGTCAATTGAGAATGCCAGAGACATGGTTGGTGAGCATGATTCTTGCTTTGGTAGAATCAGATGACTCCCTTGAAGTTTTTGGGAATGACAATGATCAGTCAATGGTAAGATCTTCAGAGAAGGTTAATGATTTGGAGGTGGGGATTGTAACATCAAGATTCAAGGTGAGTTGGCAGAGGAGGGCCTTAAAGAAGTTGGTGAAAAGGAAGACTTTGCACTATGGAGTTTGCTGGGGGCCATGATGGAGAAATTAAAGTAGAGAGAAGGAAAGCTAAAGTTGACTTTGTAGTATTGTTAAAGGTATGCACCTTGCTAGGCCCAGGTGCATACTTTCAAATTGTTAATGTACGTGCCTTTCCTTAGCTAAGGAAAGATAKTATTCTTTACCAAAGGGATTGTTAAATGTCAAGTGGATTGTATTTTAGGCAAGCTGGACATGATCAATATCTATGCTCAGCTTGAGGAGTTTTTTGAATTTATATTTATTTTGCTGTAGGGGTATTTCTATCATTCTATGTCCTTTATATTAACATTGAACAGAAAGCTGATGGCCCATTTCTTGTTGCCTGTACATCACATCACTTTTTCTTCTTTTTACATCAAGTAAAACTACTTGTTGCTTCATTATCAACTTTTTTGCAGAAATGATATGTCTAAAAGATTCTCATTTTACATGCCTTCCCCATGACAAGCTGATGATGCCTAGAATACCATCCTTAAAATGACACCAGAACTATCTTACTGTATGTTAAGACAAGCTAAGGAACAGTCCATGCATCATGACATCATCTACATGCTAATTGGTCTTGTTGCAGAGATGACATGAGTCTATAAGATCCTTATCTTACATGCCTGCTCCAGTTTAATTGACAAGCCCACCTGAAGATTCCTGGAATACCTTTCTAAAAGAAGAGATGACATCCTTAGTGATGCTAATGTAACACCAAACTATCTTATTTTGTATTAAAACAAGCTAAGAAACACAACACGGATCATGTGTGTGCTTCTTCATGGACATTTGAATTCATTGATTGCCTTGAAAATTTCATATTCTGCTCATCTATTCCCAAGCTATGCTTTTCAGTGGGAGATCAAAAAGGTTAGTGGATGGTGGATATTATTTAGCTTTCCTCAATTTTTACAATTGCTGTATCTTGATTGCTCAGTGCTTTTTGCAATTGTTTAACTCGTGTTCACATTTTAATCATGCAACTTTAAATTTCTGCATGATTCTTATGAGATTGGTTCTGTATACTCTATCTGAAATGGAAAATATTCTGCCATAGTTACTTGTTATCTTTTCCTTTGTTGTGGTCACAAATTCATTACTGCAACTGAGTAGYTCTTGTGCATATTGGTATTATATGTGCCAGGTCGGGTTGGCTGAACTTAAAGTTGCAGTTGAAAGATCTGGGGGGCTTGTTGTGCTTGCAGAAAGCTTTGGTCATAACGTTTTCAAGGACTCACTTAAACGTGTTTTTCAGTCAACTGAATCAAGTTCCTTTAACCTTGGTTTATCATTTAAGTAAGGCCTGCTCTAGCTTATTGTATTTTTCATGTGGACTTGATACTGACTGTTTTGTGGAGCCCAAACTCACCTCATTGCATCCCCCTCCCCCAGCAATAAAATAAAGGAAGTTCTATTTTCTATCCAACTTGTTTATTAAAACATGCATTCTGAAAGTTGTCATATGTTTGAACGGCTAATAATCTTTTGAAATTCTTTTGATGGTAAATAGAAATGAAAATGTATTAACACAAAAAGAAAATTACAAGAGAAGAACAAGTGATGACATACTACCAATGACCCAATCCTTGAAAATACAACTAAAAAGTAAAAAAGAACAAATAAATCTGTCACCATTTTCAATGTGGACCAGAAATTAGAACCACATGGACTCTTTGGACATAATGAATTCTGGATGCACTAGAAATATTTTGAGAATTTTAAAGCTGTTTATCCATCTTTGACTTATTGGTTGGGATTACAGTTGTAATTTCTTTTCTTTGATAAGGTATATAACATAATTATATATTAAGTTAGAAGGGTGTGAGAGCCCAAGTCTTCTGTTTCTCTCAAAGTCTTGACTTCTCTTATTTTCATCTTCTTGTTTATTCTCTCTCATAGAATAATCTCCAAATTTTCTAAGTTGGTATCAGAATATTTATTTCTCTCTCCTGTGCATGTTGATCAAACAAAACAGAGTTGATCCCTTGTGATGTCAGAAGGGCAGTAGCAGGCCTGTGATTTGATGAATAAAAAAAATTCCTGACCTTGGTAGAGTTTGCTTTGAAGGATTATTCATCAGGTTTTCTATGGAGATTGGATTGGTTATGGATTTTTATACTATTTATGGTGAAAATTCCAAAAGTTACAGATTTGAGAAAATTGGTTGGTGCAATTTCACCGGAAGTTATTTATGCAGGACCTCAAGTTTTTTAATCAGAAATCTTTTTTGTAATGCTGCAGAGGCTCCTATAATATTTTATGGAGTTTTAAGTATTTAGCATGATTTTATTTTGAGAAAAGTAAAGTATAAGCTTATATTAACTGAGAAAAAATATACAAGTATGGTCCTCTGTACAATAGTATTTTATACAAAAAAAATTCCTTTAAGGACCCCCGAAAAGAGTTACATTTAAGAAAGTGGACAAGAGGTCATCAGGGCTGAAACATGTGGTGCCTTCTTTGATTACTTTTGCTACTCCATTGCTTCACTAGGTTGATCTTAGGTATTCTAGACAGTGATTGTACTGTGATCTTGTAGTTTTTTCTTGCTTATCCCTGCTTGTGAGAAGTCCTTATGTTGAACCATGCCTATTGGAAACCAATCTAGTGAAAGTATGGGCATGGTAGAAGTTTTAGGAACTGGTTCCACCTTTCTGCTACCTTTGGCAACCCCACTTTATTGATCACCACTATCAGGTTGGATGGCTCTAATTTCCTGCAATGGTCCAAATCTGTAAAGATGCATATTGGAGGATGTGAAGAGTTGAGATATTTGACAGGAAAGATTTAAAAACCAGAAACAACAAATCCTGCCTTGTGAAAAGTGGCAACAAGAAAACTTTACAGTCATGTCTTGGTTAGTGAAGTCAATGCAACCTCGTGTAAGCTGCACTCTCCTGTATCTTGACATAGCAAATATATATATATATATATATATTGCAAGGATTTATCAACTTCACCAAGAGATTGCTAGTTTTTGTCAGGGGAAGAAAAGATTGTCTGCACATTCCTCCACTGTTCAATGCATGGAAGAGGAATTGAATAATTGTCAGGTTTATCATTGAAGGATTAAGAGGATAGAATTCAGAATTAAATTGGTTATTTGAACTTCTTGCCACCTTGCTGGTCTGAATTCAGAATAGAAAATAACGAGGATTCAAATTTTGGGCAGGGGGGATTGCCTAGTTTATTGTGGCACATGCATTGGTGCAAAGTGAAGTGAAGAATGGGAGAAGGATTGCAATGAAAATCGGGTGGCTGCATTCTGATGATACATCTTCTAGTGGTGGACCCAAGACAAGTATTAAGAAAATTGATTCCATTGGAGATGAAAAATACATATTGTGAATGTTGTAACAAGCCTAGGGGATTTCAGTTTTAGAATGGGGGCTTAAGAGATGGTGAGTTTGATGTGATTGCAGGTTTATTGCATATTATTGAGAAGTTTGTTTGGACACTTCTAAACCTGATAAAAATATTTGGTCTCCCCACACTAAAGATCTTATTTTGTTTGCCTCCTTTTGTCTCTTTGCTCTTCTCCCCACTTTCAGCTCTTCCTCCTTAAATGAAATTTGGAGTAGGTCTGTCCCCCCTCAAAATTAGTGTTTTTTTGTTGAGAAGTTTATTATGGGGAGATAAATACATTGGATAGTTTACAAAGAAGAATGACCTTTTTATTTGTGTATCCTCTGATGCATTCTATGCAAATCCACTGGTGAGAGTTGTTACCACTTACTAATCTCTTGTCCATTTGTTGTAGGTATTTATGAATGGTGTTTTTTCTTTAACAAAATTTACTGTTATTGATAAAAAAAAAATGGTGTTTTTTCTTTGTTTGGCTGCAGGTGGAACCGTGGAGTTTGCCAATAAAGATGAATAATTTGTTTAACTCAACTAGATTTGTGTGGCCTAGAAGAAGGGGCAGAGTTTTGTGGATATGCACAAGGACAGCAATGCTATGGATTATTTAGGAAGAAAGGAATGCAAGAATTTTTCTAGAAAAGGAAAGAAGTGAAGAAACGGTGAAGGAATGTCTAATGACTAGAGTAATACATTGGGCTAAAATGTTGGACATTTTATCATATTTTTCCTTTGATGTTATTTGGAGGAATTGGGCTTAGGTAGCAAAAAGCTCTTCAAAAAAGAAACTACCACCTTCCTTTTTGTTACCTCCTACTTAAGATTTTATCAAACTAAATTTTGATGGAATCAGCTAGGGAAATTTGGGTCCCTTTGGTATACAGGGGTATTTGGAGATAAAGACAGTCATGTTGTTGCTTTGTTTTTGGGTCCTGTGTGTGAGGGGAATTCTATTAGAGCTGAATTCCTTAGTTCAAGGGTTGCAGTTAGAAAATGACTTGAACATGGATAAGCTGATTGTTGAAGAGGATTCTAAGTTGGTGGTGCAATGGTTAAAGAAGCTGGAGTCTGTCATGTGGGCTTGTAGAGATGAAATTAAGAAGTTTAAGTGGAGCATTCAGAAACCATGAAGGAAGAATTGTGAAGGTATCAAATTGGGTGAAAAAATTTTAATTCTTCAAAGACTATTTAGTGGATGACATTATTAGAGGGTGGATAGTGGTCGCAGCTTCTATTAGCAAAGGCCCATAAGATTTGAGGTGTGGATTCCACCAGAATATAATATACTTAAACTGAATTTTGACAGTAGCTGTAGTGGCAACACCGGGCCTTCTGGATTAGGTAGGGCATTCGGAACCCATGAAGGCAGAATTGTGGCTTTGTACTTGGGACCATTTGGTCATGGAGATTCTTTTGAGGGCAAAAGTATTAGGATTGTGGCAAGGGTAGAGTATTGCAAAACAGCTAGGGTTCAGAGAATTTGAGGTGGAAGACAATTCTAAGTTAGTTGTAAACTGGATGAGAATGGATAGTTTGTGAGTTTGGAATCACAAAATAGCTATGTGACAGGTTAGGCATCTAGCAAAAGAAATAGGAGTCAGATTCAAATAGGGCTAGAAGAACAGCAAATGGCTTGGTTGATACCTTGTCTCCTAGTCACCTAGGTGGTTGCCTTGGCATCAAATAGAAAATCAATAGGTTTTGAAATAAAAACCTTGAATCCTAGGGTAATTCCCTAGGTTCCATAGCAATCAGCAACCTTATTTCAGTAGTAATTATCAATGATCTTCATAAAAAGTATAAACTTCATATTTCAAATAGAAAATCAATATAGTTTTTTAATTGGTAGACTGTAACTTAATTGATTTGAAAAAGAATTGGATGTATTTACATGAATATTGAAGTGCCAAGCACCCCCATCACCTCCAAGTGGTGACTTGTCCCCCGTTTTTCTATCCCCCAAAGTAAATCATGTTAGAACTAAGACTCATCGTATAAAATCAACGTATCCATGAGAAGAAAAGAAAGAAAGAAAAAATGAAATTCAGAAAATATAGAGGCTGAGCCCTTGTTTTTGTCCTAGGAAAAGGAAAAAAAGAACTGGTAGAAGAAGAATGTGTTGATTTGACAAATTTTTAAGTTCTCCCTTGCTTAAGTCTTCAAGGGTTCAAGACAGCATACACCAACATGTGTTGATTGAACCACAACAAATAAGAAAATAATAAAAAGAAACAGCATATAAATCTACAATATGAATAATTTAGTGCAATCTTGCCTACTTGTTATTATAATCTTGAAAATATATATATATAGTGCCATTATAGAAAATAGCTAGGTGCTTAAGCAAGGTGACCTTCTTTGGGCACCTTGTCACTTTTGACAACTATAGTACCATTCTTGTTATGGATATTGGTGGCATTTAGTATTTTGTTACATTTATAGATGACTATCTGCAAGCTGCTTTACATGGTTGTTTGTGTTGAAATCATAGGATGAACTTTTGGACATTGTAAAAAATCTGTGCTATGATTCAAACTCAGTTTGAAGAACAAACTAAGATATTTCGTTCTGCATTCTGATAATGGAGCAAGGCAATTTGAGAAGTGTTTTAGCATATACTTGTACCAATGGGAAATTAACCACCAAAAATCTTGTGTTTACACAGCGCAATAGAATGTTATAGCTAAAAAGAAGAATAGTCACCTTATGGAGGATACTTGAGGATTCTTGTTCTCTACAAAAGTTCCTTATTGGTATTGGGCTGAATGGTATCCATGGCTTACTTATTTGGTTAACTAAATGCCATCTAACTTTAAGTCTCCTTTTCATTGTTGTTCCCCAACTCCTTTCCCTATCGATTTTTGTGTGTTTAGGTGTTGTGTTTCATCCATATCCTTGATCCTTACTGATCTAAGCTCTAAATGCTATTAGGTGAGTTCCCTTAGTTATTTAATTACCTAGAAAGCGTATTGATCCAATTAATGAGAAGCGTTATGCCTCCATGGTAGCCCTATGTGAAAGGGAACTTACGAATCTTACTCTCCAATACAGTTGCACATTCTTCTAGAAACTCCATTGGAGTATTACCCATTCCCACCAACTTCTGGCTGGATTCACCTTCAATTCTGATAACAATTCAAATTTTAAAACTCTTTTAGTGTAGCTCTTAGATGAACCACTTGTATGAGGTGATCATCCAATTAAGCCTCTTGTATTTAATTGTTTGACTGATTGACATTGAAGTAGTTGTATATATGACCCCTTCTTGGAGGTTCCAACTCACATATGGTGGTGCCTTTCAGTGCATGGCTGACTGTATGATATATAGAATACCAACTTTGTAATGTAATTTTGTTGCAGCAAAATCAAGGAAATTGCTTTTTAAGGCCTTTGTATGTGTTTGTGTGTTGATTTATGTATTTTTTCCAACTAGCTTTGACATATAATTTCTAAAAAACATGTTTTCAGTGGAAGTGAAGAATCATTAACTGTTGGTCACTAATTTAATCTTGATTCCAGTGGTATATTTGAGGTTAACTGCTCCAAGGATATCAAAATTCAAGGCACTATTGGACCTTGTGCATCTCTTGAGAAGGTATAGCTTAAACCATCTTCTTGGTCCCTTTTGTGTTCTGCATTTTTTTCTAATTTTTGTACAAATTTTTTGGTGACTTCCACAGAAAGGCCCTCTATGCTCTGAAACAATTGTTGGTCAAGGAAATACCAATGCTTGGAAGATGTGTGGCCTTGATAAAACAACAACTTTATGCTTGCTATTTGAGATTGTGAAAAAGGACAGCACAGATGCTACTGGACAACCCACAAGCAATCAATTTTATCTCCAATTTTTGACTTAGTATGGATTCTGTGACTGCACTATTGAATTATGACCTTTAGAATTGTCTAGTATCAATGAAACTTGTCTGACATAGTACAGATATTGTGCTTCAGCTATCAGCATAACAATGGCCAAATGAGACTTCGTGCTACAACACTTTCCAGGAGATGGGTTGCTGGACCTGGCAGCATACAGGCAAGATTTTTCTTAGTGAAATCTATCATGTGATTTTTTGTTTATTCTATGTACAGGTAGAAAAACAAAATCATGCTTATTACACTCATATGGTCCTGGATCCTTCCTATTAGCCAAAGTACCTATTGGCATGACAAGGCATGTGTAGGAGGATGGTATATGCATGACATCCTTGGAACTTGGAATTATGCAATTTCCAGTATTTCATTGATATTTTTTTTTATACTGTGGGTAATCTCATAGCTTTAGGATTTCTTTTTTTTTTTTTGTAAAGAGACATCATGACAACCATTTTTCTTACTTTTTTCTTTATGTTTTTTTTTCTTCCTATGTATGTAATTCTCATAGAATGATCATCATTTTGTAAGATGTCGCATTGTTGCTGGTAGCTCATTGGGTAATCCAGGAAGGGCAGGAATAGGAGGTGCTTTTAGAAACCACAAATGAGTGGTGGTGGCCTTGTTTTCAGGACCAATTGGCTTTGGAGATTCAGTCCAGGCTGAAATTATGGCTCTCTTACATGAATTAAGGCTTACAGTACAAACAGGAGTAAGGGAATTGGAAGTCGAAGGAGATTCTCAGTTAGTCATCTCTTGGTCCAAGAATTTCAGATCAGCTCCTTGGAAATACAGACATGCTTTTAGGGAAATTGACACCCTAGCAAAGAGATTCAACTCTACTTTTGGCTGGATAAGAAGGACTGCAAACGTATTGGCAGATATTTTGGCAAAGCAAGGAGTTGATAGACCTAGTTTGTTTTGCGCAAAGTTGTAATCTAATGAACTTTGGCTGCTGGGAACCTGTTAGCTTTTTTGGGACTTCTTTGTGACTATGGCTTGAAAGTTTCTTGGGGATGACATCCCTGTCATCAAATTGTACTATCTACTGTGTTAATTGACTCTAATAAAATAAGTTATCTTCTGCTGATCAGAAAAAGATGTATTATTGCTAAGTTTTCCCTTATTGGAAGCCACTYACAAAAATACATGTAAATTTTTAAATGCAGCTTGCTTGTTTGAAAACCAGTTTGAGAAACAGATAGGTATGCAGTATCAGTGGTTCTCCTTCCCAAGAAGCAGTGAGGCTCAATTTTGATTGAGAATATTGCAAAATGAAAGAATATTTATAGATATGACACCAATTTAGGTGAAATGAAAGTAAAGAGAAATAGAGAGGGATGACATGCCAATAGCAAGGATAACTTGATGATTTCATTTAGATTGAGAATATTTATAGATATGTAGAATTACATAAAAATAGAAATAATGAAGATAGTAAGAGGATATCTCAAGGAGACCTCTCAAATAAACATTCTATTTAGGTGAAGATTGCCTTACGGTACAATGAAAGTGTGTTATCTTCCCTCTCCATGTACCTTCTCTCTGTATCCAATTCCAGCAGGAATGGAAGCTATTATTGAAAAGAAAATAAAGGATTTTCTTTGGAGAGGCTGGTAAGAGGAGAAGAAATACCATTTAGTGAACTGGAACAAAATTTGCAGGCCCCAATCCCAGAGGGGCTGGGTGTTAAGAGGGTGAAGAATATCAATGTTGCTATGCTAGGGAAATGGTTTTGGAGGTTTGGGGAGAATCAATGAGGGCTATGGAAAAGAGCGGTATAGGTTAAATATGGAGAAAGGAATTTGGGGTGGGACCCGGGAGCTCCAAATCAATACTACAGGTGCTCAGTTTGTAAAGGAATTGAAAGACATATAATATGTTTGCAAAAGGAGTGAAATTCAAAATAGGAAATGGGGAGCGGATCAAATTTTGGAAGTTGCAGAGGGAATCCTGGACAATCAGGGATTGGGGTTGTTTTCAGGGATGAGAATGGGGTTGTTTCTGCCATGTTCTCAGGCCCAATTGGAGTGGGTGACTCTCTTAGAGCCGAGATCCATGCAGTTATGGAAGGAATCCAGAAAGCCAGGGAGATGAATATCAGAAAACTTACAATTGAAGGGGACTCGGAGGTGGTGGTAGTATGGCTGAATTAGACAACAGTGGCTTATGGAATTACAGCAATATGAGGAGGAAATTTAGATGGCTGGCTCGAGAATTGGAAGTTAAAATCAGTTGGGTAAAAAGATCAGCTAATTCTTTTGCTGATGGGTTAGCTAAACAAGGGGTGGAGAGGGAGTCAATGTTTTGATCTCAGTTGTAATTTTTTTTTCTATTTCTCCTTGTCTTCCTCTTTGTAATTAACTAATTACTATTGAGATTATTTAATGAATTGTGTTATTGATCAAAAAAAAGGTTGTTTGGTGTGGAAAGAGGTCCCTGTCTGAGAGTTTCTCTGCCTTCTTGAAGTGGCAGTGGACAAAGAGTCAAAGTTACTGACTGTTTGCAGATGCAAGATGGTAATGTGGTTTGGGCCTCACAGTTAAGGAGGAATTTAAATAATTGGGAAGTGGATGAATTGCTGGAATTGCTATGGATTTTGTATAACACAGAGGTGGAGTTTGCTAGGTCCAACAGAAGAGTTTGGAAATGGAAGAAGACTGAAAGTTTCACATCAAGTCCTTTTATAAGGCAATGGGCAATGCAGAAGGACAATTGCTCCCAGTTCATATCACCTGGTGTAAAAATGTGCCATAAAAAATTTCTTTCTTTGTATGGATTTCTTACCTTAATAGAATACTCACAATGGACAACCTCTTAGGGAAAGGCGTTTTGCTAGATTCAGCTGGCTGTGCACTATGTGAAGGACAGTTGGAAACAGTGAATCACCTCTTGTTGCACTGTAGTTTCTCTTATGGGATTTGGAACAGAATTTCCTGTTTATTTGAAGTGCGAAGTTGCTGCCCAGGATCAATAGAAGAGTTTGTAGGAGGTTGGAGGGTGGAAAAAGAGGAAAACTGATCTGAAATATAACTCCGGTGGTGGTGTTTTTGGCAAGAGAGGAAGCATGGGTCTTCAAAAACAAGATTAGCTCTGCTGATTCTATTTATCAGAAAATTTTGGGAAAGATGTTCTCATGGTTGGCTGGTCATAGGCTATTTAAGGGTGTAGATTTTGAGTCTTTCTTTGTATATGACAATCTTTTTAAGGCAGGGTGGAGGGTCAAGGTCAGAGAGGACAGGTTTATTTGGTCCTCGAGTACATCATCGTGTTGTACACTTTTTGTTCATATTAATAAAATTATAGTTTACCTTCTCTCAAAAAAAAGTGAAAATCCGCTTCAATGTGTTTGGTCCGGGCATGATAGACTGGGTTGGAAGCAATGGGTGGAACCAGTGTTGTCACACCATAATTTGGGCATTAAGGAAGTGAACAAGCCAACTGAGTAAGAAGTGACTAAATCCACACTATCTCAGCAGTTGTATCAACTAGAGAGCGAAATTCAGATTCCATACTAGAACAAGCAATAGTGGCTTGTTTTGAGGCTGAAGTTTGCAAATCCACACCATTTGTCGTCTGGGTACCCAGCCTAATCAACATTAAAAAATGCTTGAAGCTGGAAACTGGACTGGTTAGAAAGTGAGGCCATGATCAACCGTATCTTTCAAATATCGAAGTACACGCTTCAAAGCTTTCCAATGTTAATTGATAGGACAATGGAGAGGACCCAAATCCTTTAAAGCAAAAGTAGAGTTAATCTGACAAATAGGAGAATGAACAGCTGCAGAAGAGTTTCTAGTAGGCAAAGTATCATCAGCATACAGCAGTAGCAGTAGTAAAACACTACTATGATTGTAAAGAAAAGGAAAGGAGTCGGCATTAGATGATTGAAAACCTAGCTGTATCAAATGTAAAGCAAGTTTATGATACCACATCCGAGGAAAGCATTGTGAATGTCTAGTTGTGCTGATAAAAAAAAATGACTAGTTGTCTGAGAGGCCATCCTTTTGAGGAGCAAGAGAGACAACACACATAATCATGGTGTGCTTAACAACTGGGCTGAAAGTCTTACTATAATCAATTCCTGATTGTTGAGCAAAACTTTTTGCACCTAAGTGAGCTTTATAACACTCCACATTGTACTCTGCCTTCCTCTTGATCTTAGTCACCCATTTATTTCCTATCACATTCGTACTCAGCTGGAGAGGAACAAGAGACCAAGTGCCATTTCTAAGGAGAGCATGAAACTCTTCAAGCATGTGGGTTCAGAGAAATCAACATCATGAAGAAGAGTAATGGAAAGTGGATGCTTGGTGGCACACAAAGCTCTTTGTCTAGATGGAAACAAGTCACCATTGGATGGATACGCCCCATATCAGAAGACTCAAAGGAGTCAAAAAGAGCAACAATAGTCTACATGATGAAACCAATGCTGCATATTTTTGACGGAAGCGAATCACCTCTAGTCAAGGTAGAGGTAGCAAACTTATCAATTGTAGGAGCAGCAAGACTGGTATTAAGGAATAAGTCAACAGTAGTATCCTTGGAAGAGGGGTTAGGTGTAGGCAGCACAGTATCAATGATTACATCAATTGCAGGAAGCACCCTCCATGTTGTGATTAGTAGAAACTGGCACAGAAGAGGTGGGCTACATGGTGGTGAGCTAACATGGCCAGATGAAGGTGGGCCAGGGAAAGGCAGGTGTGGCATGCCAACATGTGGAGAACCTGCAAAAGAATGAAATGAATCTTGGTGATGAAACGAAAACACCTCTTCATCAAAAACATGCCAGGAGATATACACTCGGTGTGAGGATAGATGGAGACACTTGTACCCTTACAAGAAGGCCTAAAACCCAAAAATTCACAAGGGTGAGAGCAATAATCAAATTTATGTTTATTATAAGGACACAACAAAGGATAGCAAAGACACCTAAGCGATTTGAGAGAACAATAGTTAGGAGTAGTTTTGAACAATTTTCATGAGGATAAATATTTTTTAAGACTGACGTAGGCATTCTATTAATAAGGTAGAGCTGTATGAACTGCATCATCCTAATAGGTGAATGGATTGAGGCCTCTGACAAAAGAGAAATGGCAGTCTCAATAATGTGCCAGTGTTTACATTCTACAAAACCCATTCTGGGTGTGAGTATGTGAGCATGATAGGCAATGTTGAATAAAGTGGTCAAGATAGCTTAACAGAGAACAAAATTCACCTCTCCAATCAGATTGAAATTGCTTAATTTTGGTAGAAAATTGATTTTTAACAAGTGTCTTGAAACGTAGCAAACAATCCAAAGAATCAGATTTACAAGAGGAAAAGGCCAATGTGTATTAATCATCAACAAAAATAATATAATATTTATAACCATTAACACAGGTAACAGGAGCAGGGTCCCACACATAAGAGAATATTAAATCCAATGGAGCTTTGGAGACAGTTAAAGGGGAAAGGAGACAAATGACTCTTGGAAGACTGGCATGCATTGGAAATAGTAGCATTATCATTATTAGTAAACACTGGTAAACTAAATCAACTAAGGACATTGCGACATACTTTGAGAGGTGGATGACCAAGACAAGAATGCCAGTGACCAAGAGATGCCTGTTCACCTACAAGAAATTGCAAATGTCCATTATGTTGGGAGACCCTACTGTCAAATGGAAGTTCGTACAACCTGTTCCTATTGGTCCCTTGAAGAAGAACTCTCCCTGAAGAATGATCTTTCACTAGAAAACAATTTTGGGTGAAATTCAAAGAAAGAATCATTTTTCTTTTGAAAACTGAGAAACTGACAAAAGATTCTTAGAAAGATTGGGAACATGCAGAACATTATTTAAAGGAAAAGAACACAAAGGTGTAGAAAGATAGGTGTTTCCAATGTGCTCAAACCTGAAGTGCTTCCTATCTTTACTTGATCTCAACCATCGTATTCAGTTGGGATTTGAATGTTGTGAAGGTTGGGAGTCATATGATTACTTGCACCAGAATCTGGATACCAGTTTTGATCAAACTGAGAGGAGTTGCTATTGGTGTAAAATGCAGAGGTACTGAAGCTGCAATTCTTGTTCTTATGTAGACCATGGAAAGAGATATCAAATCTCTTATCGCAGGTGAGGGCCTTATGATTGGTACACCCACAGTTGATGTCTGATGGCTGATTCAGACTGTTGTTGATTGCTGTGATACTTTCCATTATTTTGAGCAAATTTGCAGAGGGTGAAATAGAACCAACAAGAAGATGAATGCTTAGTGGATGTGGTGTGGATCCTCCAGTGTTTTCATGTTGTTACATGAGAGAGGATGGGTCCTTGGCTTTGAGCTCAACACCTTCAGCTGGATCCCTACATCAGCTAATTCCTTGATAGATCATAGATGAGGAGGCTACGGTTGGGCCGGAGACAGGAGAGGAGTGTTTTATATTTGGAGCCTTCCTTCTGCTTAATGGGATTGGGCTGGAGAGGGTCTTTATGTTGGGAGCCAACAACATGAGCTTTTTTTCCAAGTGGCATTCTGTTTTGTTTGCTTGTATTATTTTTCTGGTCACTTTTGGAAGTTATTTTGAATCTTTCTGAATTGTTTCAGGGGTTGACAATTCTGCTCTTGTACCCTCCTTTTCTAGTAATGGCCCTATCTTGTTGTTTCGAAAAAAGTATAACTAAAATTCAAAGCTCTAGAATAAATAATGGGAGACTGTAAGACAAGAAAATCGACAAATTAAAGTATTTTTATTAAAAATTTTATCAAAATATATATTATATGTTATATAGTATGGTATGCTTACTGTTTAAAAAGCGGAAAAAAATCTGTTCTATGGTGATAATTAAAAAACATTACATGGTATAATACACAAAAAGCAGAAATGAACCTTCAAAACAATGATATAAAAGATCTCTCTTGTTAGTTGAGCATTATGCATGTTAGGGTTATCCAATCATTTCTTTTACAGATCTAGAATTTTTCTCTCCTTTTTGGGAGTTTTATTCATCTGCCTTCTCTACTGACTTCTAATAAATTCTTTAGTCTTTTACTCTTAAAAAGAATAAGGAATTAGCCAGAATGGGTGTTGTCATCTAATATGGATGTTATCAATTAGAAGTTGGAAGGAAACTCTTGGAGGTTTTGGAATTTTATGGTTGTGGATCTTAGTCTGGTATTCTAGGGTACATTGAATGTCATAACAATGTTATACCCTGATATTTGGACAGGCAAGTTTGTACACCTTTGGGATCACAAATGGCTAGAGGGCCCTGTTTTATGTTTTTCTTTAATCTCTGTATAACCACATTAAAGGGAGTAGTGGCTGAAAGCTAGTTGCAAATAAGGTTATGTGGCTCTGTTTTAAAAGRTGTATGGCAGTGAGGCTCATTTTGTGGGGTGCACCTCACCTGGCCTATTACCATGTTGTGGTTAATTTAACAGTCATTCAGAATAGTGAAAATGCTTGTGGAGGTTCTTGTTACATATAACAAACTATGAGAGCTGAGATTGTAGTCTTTTTCCTTTTGTTAAGTTAAAATTTCCAGCATTGTTAAGATTTGAATTCAATATGCAACTGACAACCCTTTTACAGGAATTAATTGCTGGGTTTGACCAAGAAGCAGCTGCAGTGGTTATGGCACGCCTAGTTTCTTCGAAAATGGAAACTGAGGTATTATAAACCAACTGTTGAGTCCTATAAAGTAAATAGTTTGTTTTGGATATTAAAATTAGTGCCCTAGAAATCTAGCTTGCATAACTTTCACTTTTTCAGTAATGAAAGTCCGATTGTTTAATTGTCAAAAAAAAAAAAAAATAGTCTTATAGTTTTGGTGATTGAGTGCCTACAAGCTCCTTGTCATTGTTTTATAAGGGATATGCTTGAGTAGGCATGCTTGTAGTAATTTAGGATCCTTTGAGAAGTATGTTTATCTTTTACAAATTAATATGGGATTTCTCTGCAATTTCACTGCAATGCCTGTAATTCTTGCCTCTTTCCTGCAAAATAATTATTTAACATGGTATTCTAATTTTTTTCTGTTAATTGGTTAGTTCAAAAAAAAAATAGTGGAGAGTGGAGATGTAGCATTATTTTTATTGTTAGCATTGAAACTTCATTAATATTTGATAAAAGGAATGATATGTACAATCTGCAAGCTGTGAACCCATTTTTGTTAGGGTAGCTGTAGCTACCCAACCCCGATGTTGTAATTCACATACATCATCATGATATGACCCCCCCCCAAATAAAACTGAATGAGGTTGTTTCATTTGAGGAAAAAGAACTGGACTTTGTTCCTGAACTAATCATTACTTGATCATTGCAACCATAGTCCTGGTGCTCATTAGTGATTGAAGGATTTTCTTTCCAAGCAGGCTGAATTTGACCCTATCAGATGGCTGGATAGATCATTGATACGTCTATGTTCTCGCTTTGGTGATTATCAAAAAGATAGTCCATCCTCATTTAGCTTATCTCCACGGTTTTCAATATTTCCACAATTTATGTTCCATTTGCGACGTTCTCAGTTTGTCCAGGTATATTACCGTCTTTAGCTAATTTTGCATATTTTAGGCTCTCTTTGGATTTACTTTTCTATGTTTATTTTCAGTACTATACTTGCATAATCCTCTATGTAATAACAGCTTATCCATTTTGTGCAGGTTTTTAACAATAGCCCAGATGAAACAGCATACTTCAGAATGATCTTAAACCGAGAAAATGTTTCCAATTCAGTTGTCATGATTCAGCCGTCATTGATATCTTATTCATTCCATACGGGCCCAGAACCAGCTCTCCTTGATGTGGCTGCCATAGGTGCTGATAGGATCCTACTACTGGACTCATATTTTACTGTTGTTATCTTTCATGGAGTGACTATTGCTCAATGGCGAAAAGCTGGATACCAAGATCAAGCAGAACATAAGGTAAATACCATAAATTTGCATGCATAAAGAACAACTTTTGTATAGATGAAAAGCATGGCAGAACCTATTTCTGGGTGAAAGTATGCTTGAACTGTCATCATGGGTTCCAGTCTTTTGGTCCTAAAGCAGTTCAGGGACAATTTGCAATTCAAGCAGGCTTTTGAAATGCTATAAATGCATCTATTTACACCACATTTTCCGCTAGTAAAGTGATTTTGTTGTGTACAGCAAGTTAGTTAAGGCTCCATGCATATTCTATATGTTAACAAATGTGGAAATGATCTCAAGCCATCTTAAATGGTAACTGTATCTGTAGAAATGATATCAGAGGAAATTTGGTGATTCACATAAAATGCTTTAGTAACCCTTTCTCTTTTTCACTTCCTTAGTCCTGTTGGGATAACTTCGCATATTAATTCAAAGAGGAGAGACAAACCTATTTTTGTAAAGCGAATGGGGAGACTGGTTTATACCTATTGGTGACTTGCCAGTTTGCCAAATCCATTTGGGTGTGGGCACTATCCCTTTTTGGGTGTAGATGGAATCCTCCATCAAATTTGCAAAGCCTTTTTTCCCCTTCCTTCTTCAGGTGCCGAATGAAAAGGGGAAGGACCATGTGGAGATGTTTGAGGGCTGCAGTATGTTGGGCTATATGGGAGGAAAGGAATTCCAGAATCTTCTCTGAAGTAAAAAGAAGCAATGAATAGAGAGAACTGATCCATATAAGGGTAGTACAGTGGCTGAAATCTTCAAAGCTGTTTACAGACTTCACAATGGATGATTTGTTGAGGAAGTGGGGTGAGATTGCTAACTGCACCCAGACCAAAGCAGTCTTGTGTGTGTCTTGGACTCCCCCACCAGCCGGCTTTTTAAAACTAAAACTTTGATGGGAGTAGTTGGGGGAATCCTGGACAATTGGGGATTGGAGGTATGTTTTGGGATGAGAATGGGTTTGTTTTARCCATGTTTTCCGGCCCAATTGGAGTGGGTGACTCTCTCAGGGCTGAGATCTTTGCAGTTTTGGAAGGAGTTCAAAGAGCTAAGGAGATGAATATAAGAAAACTCATCATTGAAGGGGACTCGGAGGTGGTGGTAGGGTGGCTGAATAAAGAAAATAGCAGATTATGGATGTATAGTAATGAGAGGAGGAAATTTAGGTGGCTGGTTCAAGAGATGGAAGTTAAGATCAGCTGGGCGAAAAGATCAGCTAATTCTTTTGTTGATGGATTAGCTAAGCAAGGAGTCAAGAGGGAGTCAATGTTTTGGGCACAAGTGTAATTTTTTTTCTTTTTTGTTCTTGGGAGTTTAAGCTCCAGTTGGAAGATAAGAAAGTTTATCTTCCTCACTGTAATTACTTTTGTGATTAAGTAATGAAGTGTTGTTATTGATCAAAAAAAATGCAAGCCCTCATCTATCTTTATCTCTTTTTATGAACTCTAACCTCTGGAGTACATATTTAGATGGAAACCTAATTTGGTTGTTTGTTTTTATGAGAAGTGCTTCTTGAGAAAAAAGATGTGATAACCTCAACACATCTCCCGTTCTTGGGAAAATGTTCAAAATCTTGGGTACTTTTTTTCTTGGAGAAGGCATTTATATCTGCAAATTAAGCTGTTTGGTTTCTTATAAATGGAGTGAATGCCATTTGTTTCTATGTTTTCTGTGTTTGCAATCCAATCTGGAAAAGAGACTAATCATGTGATAACTTCTAAACCAAGAGTTCACAATCACCACCCCATTATTGTTCCTTTTAAAGCCACATGTTGTGTAGGGTTGACTCTAATATGATTGTCAACTTGTTATCTTACATAGTTTGGCTTTTGCAATGCAGTGATGCAAGGAAATTCAGTTCCTCTTTCTGATATTTTAAATTGCTGCATATTGCAGGCATTTGCACAATTGTTGCAAGCTCCCCGTGATGATGCAGATGCAATACTCAAGGAGCGATTTCCAGTTGCTCGATTAGTTGTTTGTGATCAACATGGCTCCCAGGTTCTTTTTTTCACTCTACTTGTCTTACCAATGAAGTGTCAATAATAAATATTTAAATGTCTAAGTTATATACAACAGATTGTGGATCATCATCTTTTTAATTAATAATAAAAGGGTTATTCAAGGGTCCATTGCCTATTGAAATGGTAAAATCTTGGGTGACAAGCGTGATAATGTAGGGTTCAAATCTAAGATCTGCTATTTGTGTGCAAGAAAATGCCAATATTTAGGTATGAATCTGGTCCCCCCCCCCCAAAAGATCCCAGATATCTTGGACCAACATTGGCTAATGGACCTTTAATTAGAGATTTATACATTAAAAAAGCAAAGTAGGAGAAACAAAGATTAGAGGTGTAAATTGGGTCGGGCTGCGCGGCCCGACCCGGCACGATTTTGGACCGGCATGGCACGAAGGACCACGGGTCGTGCCAGGCCCGGCATGGAGGTCCATGCCATGCTGGACCGGGCCTGCGGCCCGCGTGCCAGCACGGCCCAGCCCGCGGCATAGCCCATATATATTTTATATATTTATATATTTTTTATATTATATGTATATATATATTTTATATATAGTTATATAATATTATATAAAATAAATATTTTTTAATTTTATTATACTAATTTATTTAATTATTGCATATATAAGCAATTTTATACACAAAATTCATATAAAATTAAAATTTTAAATTTTTTGTCAATTTTTTTTAAAATAAATAGCTTTGGCCCGATGCACAGCCCGACCTGGCCCAAGGCTCGGCCCACGGCATGACACGGGCCCGCACGGGCCCAGGCCATGGGCCGTGCTAGGCCGACCCCCAAATTTTTCATCGGGGAGGGCAGCACGGCCCATGACGGCCCTGTGCCAGTTTGTGCGGGCCACCCACTTTACACCTCTAACAAAGATGAGGAGAAAACCAAACACAAACTCCAAATTGCAAACCCCGCCACATAAAGACCTTTAAGCCAAGGGCAATGATACTCGAAGCCTCGTTTTCGTACCCAAGAGAATGCAGAAGCGGAATGGTACTTTGGACATTTAGAATAATAGRATCTTCAATAAGGCATGGTCTAGAGAAGTTGTGTTGCTTCTGCGGAGCCATTGTGTGTAGTGCTCTGGCAGGTGGCTTCTTGAACCATGAATATTTTTCTCTTGATAAAATTTTACCTTACCTTTCTCAAAAAAAAAGGGCATGGTCTAGAGAATCTTTAACTGAAAGTGGTGCATTTGGTGAAATCCTTGAAAGTTTTTGACCCCTTCTCTATGGATGACATCTCCAGTGGGTGAAGTCTTCATCTTCATCCAGACTTAGAGTGAGATTTTATGGAGGTCACTTGTTGGTAGTTAACACCAAAAAATGGACAGTTAACATGGTAAAAAAAGAACCAAGGCAGCATATGAAACTCGATAACAAATCAAAACCCCGAATTGAGACCCCCTACAGAATCTAATCTCTGACTCCATCCTCTTTCTCCTGTACCTCTCACACTACTGCTTCGTTCATCCATATCCAATCCTGTTAGGATTTTTTTTATAAAGATTGTGACAAAGACAATAAGCTTTGCAACTTGTAATTGAATCCTTCTTTAACATTGCTTCCTACCAATAAAACCCATGCTTCATACCCTGTCTTCTGTGGATGCCTTGCAAGTGGCCAAGGACTACCTATCCAAGGATTACACACTTTGCAATCTACCACACTCTTATTGTTCACATTCTACCTGCCCATTAGTGGAGGCATATTAGCATTAGAAATTCAAACCCAATACCTTTTTAGGGGACTAAACCCTTGGGTCATTGTGTTGAATAATTGAATTCTTGTTGAAAAGCTGTTATTTTTTGAAACATCAGTATCAGTGAAGAGGCATATCTTGCAAGGAAGCCTGTGACTGTCATTTATCACACCATTAGGAATATATTACAGTTTTTCCTTGGCCTATAATTAAACAAGGTTATGTTCAGAATATACTTGCTACGTCTATTGGTTTTCTACTGAATGGTAACATTTTCAGTAGAGGGGGCACGTGATGCTAACTTCAAAACATAAAGGTCAGAATAGAGGTTTCAAGGATTACAAAAATCTTACAATTGGTTTCTAAGTGGATTCTAAATTTATATGATACATCATTTAGGATACATGAACATAATTGCATATTTGCATTATAATGCTCTTTGGCATATAGGTTGTGGTTATGGTCATTATGGTTGTCTTATATGTTATATTTTCTTATGTATAAAATTGTTTTTGTTTTCATTTTCTGAACCCTCTGTTTTTGTTGTTGTTGGTTCTGCTTTTTCGTACATTTGAAACCATGCATGTGACAGAATAAACACCTGAATAGTTGAGTTGTACATGTTGCTGCTGAATTATGATATATTCATATTCAAACAAACTCTGCACTAGTACCTGTGCTTGTTTTCCTTGTCCCCCACCCAAAAATAAAAAATATGAAAAGAAAACAAAAAAAGTAGGTATTGGTGTTAGTATTTGTCTAACAATACTGTGAATTAATGCAGGCCCGCTTTCTTCTGGCAAAATTGAATCCTTCAGCCACATACAACTCTACCTCACCTCCACCAGGAGGAGATATCATTTTCACAGATGATGTCAGTTTTGAGGTCTTCTTGGATCATCTTCAGAGGCTAGCAGTTCAATAGTAATTCGGGTATGAGAAGGCTACCTCCATTTATGTACAACTCATTGTTTTCTTTGTACAGTAAGTTGGAGTGTATCCTTCTTTCTTCATCTTCACCTATTTTGGTTGACTTATGCTTTGGGTTGAGCACCACCATTTGTACAAAAGTTGTATGTTCTGAATCCTTTTTGCCTTTCTAAATATTCATTTTTTTAATTTCACTATACAATCTCTTGAGCTTTCCCTAAAGTTGGATATCAAGGCTGTTTAAGATCACAAGAGGCGGTTTGTATTTATTCCTTAGTAAAACAAATTTATGGAATATTATGTGTTCTCTGCTACCTTTTGGGTATATCTCATTCAGCTTTCCTTCAGTCGACAAGTCCCTTTATTGGCATTATAGCTCTGCAGGCTATCACCCATAGGGGGTGCAACTTGGGCCTGGTTAGCCTGGTCCCAACTCAACCCAAAATCATTGGGTTGGGTTTGGGTTAGGGTTTGGGATTCAACAACTCGGATTGGATTAGAGTTGACCAAAACCAACCTAACCCAGCCCAACTTTCCCCAGGGTCTTTCAGTAAAATATTGGTCCTTGTATTTAACAAAAGGCATACTGTTTACAAGGTGATGGTGGAAGATATTAATTAAAAATTTTATGCTAGTAATTGTAAAAATGTTTAAGAATTAAATATTTTGCAAATTATGTTGACTTGATTTATGGGTTTTTTGTACCCCTTGTAGATTATAAATTTATAATGTATGTTTACCATTCAAGTTTATAATATGTTAGTTTATGCTTGTAAGTTTATAATACTGGGTTCATGTGCATTTTGGTTTATGTGAAAGCATTTTATATAAATTAAGTAGAGTTTAATTGCATACAAATGCAAAGTAAAATTGCTTAACGTCTGGTATATTATTGCAACTTTACTTCATAGAAGTTGTTATTCTATGTTTAAATCTTATTTGTAGCCAATTGAGCTGTAGAATGTGCTCTAGATTTATTTGTGATATTTATGTAGTCTTCCCYATCACATCTAGGTGTCTTTTAATTATTCCAGCATATCCCAACACTTCCCAAGTGTAACCTGAATACCTGATAGTCTCCTAAAACTATCTTTCCGAAACTCTTGTGATACCTAAAACTATGGTCTTTTAATGCATACTGTGAACTTGTTGATCATTTGAGACCAAATGGAGATCAGCATAATGGCCACTAACCGAAGATGATGAGATCAATGAAGGGAATAATGACTTTCCGTGGTTAGTCTGGTTTGTCTTCAAAGAGTCTCAAAGTCTTGATCCATGATGTATGTATTTGTAAGGTTGGTGACCTAGGAGGATCTTTGAGTAGAACCCCCACCCAATTGATTAATCAAGGAAGAACCATGTGGTGGTGTCTAACTGCCATCTATCGAGGTGAAGTTCTATTAATGAATGGATGCAAATTCTGTGAAGTCAGATGAGGCAAATCTCCTCAATTGGCTTCTTGGCAGTTGGCACAATTTCGTTTCGTCTGATCGTCTGCAATCTAGGAATAGTAGAGAGAAACTCTCACTCTTGGACCTTGGCCTTAAACGCATGCATTATACACCAAGCCTACAAGAAAAATGACTTTTTTGTACCGTGGTCCATTCATCAAGGACTACGTTATGCTTCTAACGTTGGCTTTCATGATCAGAAATCTGAGTCTGACTCTACTTCAGTGTTCAGTGATACAGGTGCTACAGGCTCAGAATACCCGACATTGTTGGCTGGACATCCTACTCACGGAATGCAAAGAAATGATGCAGCGCCTCCATCGCTTGAAGCTGATCACATACAGTATGGATGAATCCAATCAAGCAACAGATTGGGTCACTAAAGAAAAGATTTGACGATGACATGTACACTTTTTGTCTTTTTGTAACCCCTCCAAGGGGGGCCGCTTCTGGAGATCGAGATGTAGATGTGAGCGGTTTATGCTCTGTCTCAGTTGAATAAAACCATGTTTATCATGAAAAGTAAAGACTAATGCACACATCTCTTTGGCATGCATGCATACGTAGTGGAGTCAATATAGCCCCCTTTCTTAATACCGCCATTTGGTTTACATAATAGTTGCTCTGAAATTAGATCAAGTGGAGTTTTTTTTTCTGTAAATTGATTAAGTGGAGTTCTGGATTCCCCAAATAACAATAGTTAAATATGCCTGAAACCCGTTTATCAGCTATCATCAGCACTGAAGACAGCACTAGACTACCTCGCAATACCTGTATGAAAGGTTCAAATTGTCGCAATGTATTTGTGCATATCGACGTATATGTATCAGTTTTCAGAATCACCGATATGCTAAATATAAGGAGTTCGGACATAATCTATAATATATCACCATATGGATTTGTTGAGGCACCGAGTCTGAACGATTTTATATAATTCAACTTGGGTGGATTATTTGAATTGCTTATGTGATGACCGACTGCTCCATCCGATTTCACTTTTATGCAATGTTGAAAGCCACACGGTTTCACATGAACTATCCAAATAACCGGCGAAGTATAGACCTGTAGATGTGGATTGTGTCCCTTCCACTCCCAGTGCTCTACTTAGGAGGATTGGAGACCCTCCCAGTCATAGTGTCTGGATTCCATTATCCCACTTGAAAGAATGCTAGCTAATATCGAATATTGGGTAATAGAAATGTTCCCGACCATTTGAATGTTTTCATGGATATGCACAATTGTCATCACGCTCGAAAGCTGATGGGGGTAGATGTGGGCAGGATTCTTGTGGGTAGGAGATCCGGATTAGTTAATCTAGCCCATTCAGTCAGTTTGGATCTCCTACCCATGCCTCACTACATCGGTACATTGAGAATATCTCTCATATTTTGCATGTTACCATTCATGGGGAGATGTTCTCATTTCTCAATGTAGAGCTCTAGTGTCTTGTTGGTAGGAGATCTGAATTGCCATTCAGTGGCATGTCTTTATCCTCAAATCATGGCTTGCGATGACTTGTGTGGATCTGCTAATGACCCTTTGTGGAAGCAGTCTCATCTCATCATTGTCATCGACAATCACGCAAGATTCTGCGAAGAATGAAGATTTAAAGCATGGTGGAGTCTGGAGACACTTCTCCAGGCCGAAGACTAGAGGTTTTCTTTCTGTGATAAACAAATCCCATGTGTTGTGTAATCATAGTTGATAGTTGTGAGAAAACATTCCACCATTTTAGTCCTAGTTCTCTATCCCTATGACTATGAGCAGTCAAAATTCCCCGTGACTGTTATCACTTTTATGATACCAGTTGATTGGTTATAAATAATTTTAATATCATATTCTTTTTTTTTCGGATCCCCATCTTCTTTACCCCCAACAAGATTTGATCTCATATCTCAATTAGGAGTGGCAGAAAGGCGAAGTGGGGATGGAGAACCACTCCCCATCCCCATCCATGTCCCTGTCCCTGCCAACAGGGACAAGGTTATCCCCATCCCCGTCACCACAGGGAACTCCACTCCCCATGATTTTTTATAATGTCAATCAAAAATAATTAAAATTTACAATCCTATTAAAAAAAATGCAAGCATATTTAACCATATTTTTAAAAATATTAAAATATAGATATATGTATACATATATAGACATATTTGTACATATATACATATATATATTMACGGGGATCACATGGGGCAGGGATCGGAGTCTCCACAGGGCTCTCCCCATCCCTGCCCTGTCCCCATCAAAGGGGATGAAAACTTTTCCATCCCCATCCCTGCAGGAAAAATCATCCCCATCCCCATTCCAATCAGGGAAGATCTCCACAGCAATCATCGATCAGGAAAATGGGAAAATTGCCATCCCTAATCTCAATTATCACTTGGTGATATAATGTTTTTCCCCATAGTTGATTCTGCTGCCATCCAAGCTACGAATAAGGCTAAGTTCAATGAACCTGGCACTTGAAAAGAAACAGTCTACAAGAACGACCAAGTTCATCCTCTCAATGGAATCAAATCTACTGGGCTTCACCTTGAAGAGATTGGCCTACACTATGCAGACTGCATGTGTATGTATAAATTACATATATGTGAACAGTAAGCGACCAAACCATCCAACTGGGGCCAAGCCAAAACAATTCGAAGGGCTCAGAGCAGAGTAGCGTTTGGTGTCACCTAGAGTTCCTCCAGCCGCTTCAGTGGTGATTTGCCGAGCTAAGACATCTGCTCCACTTCCCCCTRCTGAAGGGTTTGGAGGAACTCTGGGTGCTACTCAAACATTTGTTCATCTATGTATATGAGCGCTAAGGTAGCCCCATTTTGCTGTTGCAATATATAGTTTACAGCCCCAAGAGTCCGAATCTGCAAACTATAAGACACTACAATCATATATTGAGAACATCTCCAATTGCATACAAGTAAAAGAGATGCTTCTATTGTACGGAATGTGGTGTCTTGTGGGCAGTTGATCCGAATTCATGTACTTATATTTATAATAGAAAAAATCTATGCTATATGGTACAGGAAGATGCTCGACAAATCAAACCACCCCCACATGAATTTTGATGAATACCACTTGATTGGTTACTATTTTTATGATATAGTTGATAGTTGATTGGTTACAAGTTATTTGGTATTATGTCCTTTTGGTATCATAGTCTAACATTAAACAATGAAAATTTGTTTGATTATTGTTTTCTTTTTTCTGTTTTTTTTTATAATCAGGATTTTTATTCTTTTTWTATTGAATCTTTCGGTTTTTCGGAAAGTTGGATTAATTGATCATCATTACTTCCTCAGGATGAAGCATGTAACTACTTAAACTTAAACGTTATTAGTGGTTAAACTTAAAWATTAATATTCAAAAAATATTAACATTTGCATTTTGGATAGTTTAAGTGGCTAAACTTAAATATTAATATAAGTGGGTAAAGTAAATGCAATTACGTGATAACTTTAGTAGGAATAATCACTTGAAT